CCTTCCCCAGTTTCTTCCACAGCCAATGGAGCCACACACCCACTCTCTGTCAGCTGTTCGGCTTTCTCCTCCAAGTCAGATTCCTACAGGGGCATGATAGTTACTAAGTCACAGTCTGAGATTGCATTTGGATTGGTAGTCTTCAAGGATAGTAAATCAGAGAGATAATAAATGAAACCTGATTGATTGCCATAAGGAGAGGAACAAACTTTTCCACTATGTAGCAGCACATATAAATCCTGGGATAGATTCATAGATCTAAATTATAAAATACTGTTGAATATTATCCTTAGTTATTGCACAACACAATTCAAGGAAGATAACTGGGTAAACCTGCTGTTTACAACAAACTCATTTGATAGATTATCAGATAAGTTTTTCAGATTTCTGGATGCATAATGATATCAAGGGACAGCTTGACAAGGAAGAAGAGTACAAAATACTTGTGACTGTGGGCAAGATCAGACATATTTTTGAATCTTACTAAACCAAAATTATAGGATTATTCACTTTATTATTTTTAAACATTCAAGAAAAAAGATTAAGAACAGCCACAATTCATTTCCATATATTATCTAAATAGCTTAAATCTGAGCAGTGATTTATGATTAAGCATTTTTTTTCACAATTCTATCATAATTTCTCCCACTTCAAAGGAGAATTACTCTAGTAATGTGAAAATATGCCTTTTCTGCACGTCTCACTTGTGAAAAGGAACTTCCTTGGCATTTAAAGCAAATTGTATGTGTGTAAACCTTTTGCAAAACTTTTATTTGAAAGAGAATATTTTGGAGGGGGAACAAGAGGAAATTAACCAGACAGCTTAACAGGCTATTCTTTGTAAGCTTTATGAATCATTGAACCAATGGTCTGTATTTATAGCTTCCAAGAATTTATATTCTTTGGTTAATAGAATGTATAAATCCCGAAGATTTTCCAGTCTGAGGTCATGACTTCCAGCCTGATGCAATTAATCTTTAACGTCTAACTGAAGGGTCCTTTCAAGGGAATGGTAATTAGCACACGATTGGAATGCTACATCCTATGCTAGATAAGGCGTCTTTACATGCATAGTGGTAGGATTTATGTTCCATTAGATATTTCAGGCTTGTTTAAAAATAACAGAACCTGGATCTTTCAGGTTTATTTTCTCTGCATTTTGTATGTTGCTTCCTGATATTGCATGTTGCATTCGCATTGTACAAATTGCTTCTTGTTTATAGACTAAATCTACAAATCAATTCAAGCAGGAGTAGAAACTGAACAAATGAGGAAGGGTGTAACAGCCATGATTTTCTCCCAAGATTTGTCATTACCTCTGAACCTAACTATAGTAACCCCAGGTCTTGTTGATGTGCATGTCAGTTCATGTATCTTTGTATTCTTTTGTAATCTAATGTGGTCTGACATAAAATGCCACCTATGCCAATGCATCTGTTCCATTTTCAAAGAATTCTTCTGGGGCACAGGAATATAAATACTGCCAAACTTTAAAGCTTACATTCATTAAAAATATATTCTATGGTCTGAAGAGTTAATATGCAGAGATTAACGCAGTGAAATTCAGATGTCAAACTGGTTAAAAAAAGTAGTTATTTCCCCCCAAATACCATGCATTTATTGTTAGTGAAGACAAAATTTGGTATGGCAAAGCTAGTTTCTTCTCCACTTTAAGTGGATTTTCTGAATTTAATAATATTTTGGACCCCAAGTTTCATGAGTTGAACTCTTTTTACAGGAAAAATCTCCTTCAGTTAGGCGGAGATAGCAGCAAAAACACTTTTCTCTCTGTAACCTGCTGAAAAAAAATCTGTTTTTGGAATTCTGCTGTATCTAAGACTCTTCTTCTATTTGTGGAAATGGAAGTCAGAATCAAAGCCATGCTTTATTTCAAAAAGTATGAAGAAGTGACTTGCAAAAATATCTAGCTATACTTTTCCTCTTGGATTTACATGAATGGTTCTAGAATTATCAGTTTGTACTTATTGTTTAAAATCTATTTAAAAAAAATGCTACTGGACTACTCATTGTTTAAAATCCATTAAAGTAACTACTGGAGTTTTAAAAAAGTTCCAAACATGCAATTATTAATGAACAATGCTATGGGAGGGAATGGGAGACATCAAAATTATATATGCTTATATGAAAATCAGGCAAAATTACATGAAGTGGTGACAGAAAAGGCAAAAGTACGTAATATAAATCTGTATGTTGCTTATTTTTAAGGCTAGTAGTGTCCCACTGTAAAATGAAATTAAGAGGTTTTCCATTTATCACTGCAAATCAGCATAACCACCTAACAGCTCTTCTCACTTAGCAGAGAACATTTAATACAAGTTTATTTCTGCTTCAGCTGCACTACTAAAGATGAAAAGGAGATAATTCTGCCATCTCAGCCTTTTTGCAAATACATAAGACGGGAGAAATGCTACTTAAGGATGAGACTCAAAATGATGCTTAATTTAAAACCAGTGTTTAGAGAAAATGGTAACTCAAGTCCATATTTAACATCTCTTCCTACAGGGCTGACAAATCTTCTACTGATCCCCCTTTTATGGCTATGAAGCATAAAGTGTTCCATCCACTTCTACCACTGGAACAATGAGTGCAACCAAAGAATGCTAATTTTCACAGGCAGATACAAAGCTTCTAGTCTTTTTCTGACAAACAATTCTCTAGCGTCGAACAATACACAGTAGGATGCACTGCCACCATGTCGGTATCAATTAGAGACCAAAGTGAAGTGACCAGATATGAGTTGTAGCTGAAGCTGAAGCTTCAAATGCATTACTCTCCTGCTTGATTTTGAGATCCACTTGTATTTTATAATATTGAGAAATTCATCTCACAAAACTTGCACTAGGTGCTTATTAACGGGATAGTGGCAGCCATAATTTTAATACTGAATGTATAATTACAATTCTGAGGCATGGGATTTTTTATTCTTTTCCCTCTAGGATGATGATGAGCCATCATATAACATTATATATTGCAAATTGTTATAATTCACAAAGGAAAAGTTGTTATAAACAAAACCTTATTCATACTACAACATTTTATTCATTTAAACTGGGTTCTCTTAATCTAGTTTTAGGACTTGTGCAGAGACAGATCTATTTTTTTAGGTCATATTTCTGCAGAAATATTGGAAATTCAAAAAAAGTTGACGAACACTTAAGCTTCACTATATTTTCTGTGGCAGAAAAGTTATCACCCTTTATTGTACTTAAAGATACCCAGTGCTACCATATTCTAATCAAAACTCTGCTTGGCTATCAGCCTTAGACTATATATTTACAATTAACCTCCTGGAGGATTTATATTCAAAAATAGAAAAGAGTTAGGAAGCCATTATTAGTGCTTACTGCATTTATATCTTGTTTCCCCTGAAGCCATAGAATTGTGTGTATGTCTGAGGAGTATCACCTCTTATTTTATCCCAACTATCCCGTCAGATAAATTAGGCTAAAAGCAAACAATTTAACATTTGTGAGCTCCATAGTTGAATGGGAACTTGAACCTAGCCATCCCAGTCTAATACCTTAACCATGTCATTAGATAGGTACAAAATCACTCCAGGATTAAATTACAATTTGGTAGACACTCCTTATGAAAATCTTATCATCCACATCAATGCTGTATGGCCAGCAAACTTAGGTTTGTCTTTTGCATCTTGACATGGAACATTTATAATTTAGACAACACATTAAATAACAATTGTACAGTTGTGTGGTATGTTTATAATGATCTAGAAATGTAACAAATACATTGAAACATTTTTTTTCCTAAATCCCATTTTATTTTTGTAATCCAGTATCACAAGCCCAGTTTTCAAGAAAATTTTTATAAACAGATAGGTCTTAACCACTGATCTGATAATTATGGCAAGCAGGAATTCCAGTGGACATTAGGATGTTGGAAGTATAACTCACTGGTAAACTAGCATGAAGAATCTGAAGTTTCATCTCAGTTGAACAGTTTTTCAGGCAGCCAATAGACAAACATTTCCCACATGTTCTTCCTTTGAAGTCTCTGCTGAGTTTACCATTATCTTTCTTCTGGACAAGTAGATACACCTTGAAGTACAGCATTGCTATTTTTATTTTCTGCCTCTAGGCTTGATAAGTATCAAGAAGCATTCTTGGAAATAAAAAATGCTACAGGCATAAGCAGCATAGCATGCCGGTTTTCTATTTTAAAAGATTTTAAAAATCTTTTAAAACCTCTGTACAGCAAGAAGTCTGGCAGCTGTAAGAAAATTATTTGTAGGTACGTTGGCGCCTATGGGCATCTCAGTGTATCTTAAAATGCATCTCTTAATTATAAGATTTAGAACTCCTGCTTGCCATGATGACCAGATCAGTAGTTAGAATCAAGATTTAGTTATGGGAAGAAAGCTGGCAGTGGTCAATGGAAATATAACTCTTTATAGACCATCCCCTGCATTATTCATGAATACCTTCTAGAGCCAACAAGAAGCTTTCAAAACAAGATCTGGAATGAATGAATAGTCCCTTTGCAGGTTGCATGTTTTTATAGACAGAATGCATATACTGAGAATTCTGACTTATTATTACGTGTTTCAGCTTTCAAAAAATCAAGTGCGATACAGAGGCCTCCTGATCTTGGTCTGTTAGAATAGACTCCCTAGCCTGGCCTACTCAGAGCCACTGGGTTAAAATTCCCAATACATCTAAAATATGCCTGCTTTGGAGAAGCTACTTTAGGGGGTTTCATGCCAACTTGCATCTTACTCCAATATTCAAGAACTGTATTTGCAAGAAGTCATCTCACGTGCATCAGAACTGTAACCACTCCAGACAGGTACTGCAGGTGGAAGCTGCACAATGCACTACCCAGATCAACCCTATTTCAAAATTAAGAATAGACGCTTTTTGTCTATGCCTATTGATTTCACATTGTGGAAGATCAATGTTTGCTTGGCCAGTTATATATTTCCTGCCAAGCTACTTGCAGAAAAATATGACACTGACAAGACAGAAAGTTCATTCCTTTATTACAATCCACCGGCCAAATTCCAAAGAGGACGTATTCACTTCAGCTCTTTTACTGCCAAACCTAGAGAGAGAGAAAAAGAAACACATACTGAAAAAGAGCAAAGAGACAATATTCTCATTATTTCTGCTTGCAAAACGATCATTTTAAACAAGTTTCTCAAACACAAGTTGTCTACCTTTGAAAGGAGACCTTCCTGAGCAAGTGTAAGAGCATAATTTGCAGCCTCATGGCTAGTTTTTAATTGGTGGCTTGATATAAATGTCAGTAAACATCTAAAATATCTATGTTCTCTTTATTCTATTGTTCTATCCAGCAGAGACGTTAAATTTGATGGCCTAAATGCAGCCGCCCAGCTCTACAATATTCCCTGCTACACAAGTGACATTTAAATACAGGGCTTTAATGTCAGCCTGTTAGGCTGACATTTCATTTGTATCTGCTGCAAAACTAAAAGCTCTCCCATCTGCCACATCCCTTGGTGGATATTCATTACACTGCTTTTCAATCATTTCCCTCTAAATCTGTTCTGTAAGTTTAACCCCCTTTCCCACTTTGTTGCCAATTCTGAAACAATACTGGTGCCCAAACAAAATATGTATTATTTGGATTAGTCTACTAAAAACCTCATGCTTTCTGGTATCATTTCATTTAGTTCAGTCACCCTATATTTTTTAACATGAACTAAGCACCAATTTATTGTTTTCCTTAAAATTGAGTTATCTATTAAAAGCAAGCTTTCATTTTGATATCAACAAGGAAAATGTATTTCTATTTGTTAAGCAAACAAACAGTACAGTAATTCGGTTTACAATGCAAAGGGATTTAAGTGATTAAATCCCACTAACTTTGAAATATGCTATGCTCATTGACTGAAATCCAATGGAAATTAAACTTCCTTAACTATAGTTTCCTTCTCAGAGGAAAAACACTATCCTTCTAAGAGATAATGCCTAATTAATTTAACAGTATCAAGTAACTTCAGCCAGTTTACAGATTCATTTTGTAAACATTTTAAAGTGTGTAACTGCCTTTCAATTTTAAGATACTATAGTACATATTAGGATTAATTTCAAATCAGTTTTAGGCACATAGCTTGGTTCTAGTTAAATGAAGAAAGTGGCCTTTCAATTTATTAGTCATTAGGGTGTAGCTAAATGTTTCATTTTATTCTTATCACCTGACAGTTCAAGGGTGGATAAAAATTGATGATTTTTTTTAAAAAAATCAAAAAATCAGATTTTTTGATTTTTATCAAATTTATTCTAATAAAATGCTTTTGGAGTAAAAATCTATCTAAAGAGTGTTTTCTATTTAAGATATATTAATAATTTAGTTTATTCAGCATGAAATGGAGCTTAGTTATGTAGCATGAGGTTGTATATTCTGCAATATTGGGACCGTTGATGAGTCAACAGCAGGACAGAGTTCCTCTTTAAAAATTATGATTTAAATCGAGTTGATTTAAATCAAATCCACCCTGGACAGTTCCATAAAACTGTTGGAAGATTTCATCCTGGAATTTGCAGTTTGTGTCAAAATACAGATAATATTTAGACTTTTTACAGCCTCCCTAGAATTAGATCAAGAGATCCAGAACCAATGCTTGGATATGAAGCAAATCACTAAAGAGTAACTCAGCTGTGACAGAGGCATTTTTATTTTGTAATGCTGACTTTGGAATAACAATTTAATCAATGCTGGATAAAATAACAAATGTAGGTTCACAGCTCAGCAGTTTCCCTGCACTTGGCTTTGACCTCAGACAGGAGCTGTAATTGGGAATGCCTTCATCCAGCTTAGGTTACTAGAGAGAGAAGATGTGGTTAGAATAACTGATGCCTTAATACTCCACATCTGGAGGATTGCAATAAGCTGAAAAGTATTTAGAAATAACAATGACCCAGAATGCTATAGCCAGGTTCTTTAAAGAAATTTCACTTAGGAAAATAGGACTACTTTATCTAAATGGTTTCCAGGATCAATTCAAACTGCTGGCAATGATATTAAAAGTTTATTATCAACTAAAATATGTAAATGGCTGCTTTTCCTACCCATGACTACTTTGCTGTCTTCCCCTTCCCACTTCTTGGAGGTATCAATTCGCTGACATTAAAAGGAGGAACTTATAGCAGTTCTGTCAGGCTCTGCAATTTCATCTCAAGGTGGCCTTAGTTTCATCTATTAAGGAGAAGTTAGGTGGAAGCTCCCCATTTTCTTTTTATCCGTTAAAATGAACCACCTATGTATCCTCACTTTGATGTCACAGCATCCTTAAGCACCTAAAGTTAACTCTTCATAAAAGGCAGTTTGATTTTATTTCTTCACATGTTTATTTTCAGGAAGCCTGTAATCATTTAATTTTTTCAAACTTGCCCAGTATCCCAAATGTTCAGGGTTTCTCCACATACAATACATAATAACTTAGTCATTTTAGATTTAGTTTGTCTTTTATCCAGGTGTTGAGAGCATCTTATATATTATCCTGTGAGACAGGCCTAACAAAAAGAGTGACCCAATAAGAATACCCATCATCTTATGAAAAAACATATATACCTAAACTATATACCTAAAAACTCATAATAAGAATCATTTGGCTAAAATGTGGGACTATTTGCTTACTATTAATTTTAATCATGTTGCCCAATTCCACTTATAATTCAGTTACCTGGTGGCAGAGACTGCTTCAGTTTTTCAGCCTTTTCCTTATCTGTGATAACCAGGGTATACAGATATCGGCTACAACGCACCTTGAACTTTACATTGTCTTTATTCTTCTTGATCTTAACAGCTATGATATTAAAACATTAGGGTTATCATTATGCATTGATTATACTAAGGAACCTGCCTAGTAGAGAGAGAACATTTTGAGAGAGAACATTTTATTACATCCACTTTATCTCATGATGACAGAGACACTTGTGAAGTAGATCTAAGTTATCATACATTTCTAAAAATGTTTTTCTTTAAATATCTTACTGGAATAATCTTGAGGCTAATACTTGTTACAGGCTCATACATATCAAAAGTACATAAAAACAAGCCAAAGACTAGTTGCTGTGATTTTATTACTAATAGCAAACACTAACATCTTTACAGTAGAGGCTTACAGTGTTAAGAGAAAGTCTGTGAACAGTTTAGAATAATCTGTAAACCTGTAATACTATGACCAGCAATGTGTTATCAGCTTGACTTAAGATCTATTACATGATTTTTATACCCCAATAAACCTGCACTACACCTTTAAGGAACATTCTGAGGCAACAAGATCTGCTATTCTTACAATGTCCTATGAAAATATTCATGGGTCTTCCATAAGGAACTGTTCAACAGATTACTGCAATATTTTCTGTGGACAGAGGGATCAAAAGTAGAACTTTGGGGGGGAAAAATCAGAAATGTTGCATTGTGAGAAAACCATCGTGCTTCTGCTAATGATCCTCATCCCAATTAGCATGCCAGTTGTACTATCATGATTTGGGGCAGTTGTGCACTGTTGGGATCAAGAGGGAACAATGGAGTCTGGACTATACTGAGAAATTCTACAGGAGCCTATCTGCCTATAAACTGAAACTTAGTGAATTTGGGTCATGCAGCACAACTATTATCCCAAACACACAAGCATTATCAACAAAGAATGACTGAAACAAAATAAAGTTTGCCCTTTGGAATGGACAAATCAATGTCCCAATTTTAACTCAAATGAATTGTAGCATGAACTAAAGCCAACAGTTTCAGGTAAAGATTTTCTTCTGCATCAGATTCTGGGGGTGATGCTCATCTGTTTCTTAGCCAAAAAAAAAAGCCAGTCAGTGATATGACTAGCACGACTATATGCCGAAGTGCAAGGAACACTATTACCTTACCACCGAAGCGGTACCTATTTATTATCATCGAGTTGAAACTACTCTGTACAGAGGAAGGGCCCAAAATATCCCCAAGCAAATGCACACCGTTAATAGGGACAAGAATCACTTCACTGAAACCACTGCTGCTTTGGGAAACATCAGTAGTTATTATATAAAGATTCATGTATTTTTCCATCAAATGTTCAATTATGGATATTCCTAAAAGGCTCACAAGCTTGTATGTAGTTGTGCAGTACATTTCTAAGTTTCAAAACCACTACAAATAAAAGCTTTGATTCTGGCTGACTATAATTCCCAATCTGTTTCTAAAATCAAACATGCATAATAACATGTTTAATGGCAATTTCTTAGTTGATTATAATGCCCTAGAAATTTACCATGGTTAAGTAATGCCAAAGAAAGCTACTACAAAACTTTATGGTTTTTAAATGACTCTAAATGATGTAAATTAAAATTGCTTTGGAGAATGTTTTACTATTAAGCTTCCAATCATTTACTTAATGATGTTTTATATAGGACAAAATATTCAAAAACATCACTTAAAAGTATCGGCAAAAAGAGGCATTGCTTTTAAAACATAGTTGGGAGGAAAGAGAATGTATCACTAAGACATGGCTCTTCAATGACAGCGTTTGGAAAAGACCTGGGTTGCTATGGAACATTTAAAAAAGTTGATAGTGCCCATAATTAATATTAAAGAATACTGTTCTAACGTAGTAAGTGATATTGTATTTTCAGCATAAATGAAAATACACAACCAGTATCATTAGTGAAACAAAGCAAAGAGCCTCGATTGGTACTCACATTTTGCATCTTTCCTCCTGGCAGTCAATAGAAAATCTTTGATCTCTTCAATTTTTCGAGGCTGTAATAAATACGAGAATCAACGTAAGTCTAGCATCTAGTGCATTATGAAAATACATTTTATTCCTGCAGCCCAACAACTTTCCCTTTTCTGCCAAACCATTCTATTAAATAGAAAATTGTAAACTTTATGAACTCATTCTTAGCAAAAAGTAAGTGTCAGAGCTTATAAGAAGCAGACAGGAATGAATATTAGCAATAGAGAATATTTGTAGCTCAGAGCTGAAATGTTGTTTACTTGCAGATGTTTCATTACTCCAAACTAGGGAACATAGGGACTAGCACCGATGATGTTCCCTTGTTTGGGTAATGAAAAGCTGTAAGAAAACAACCAAGCTCAGAGAGCACCAAGGACCGCTCAATGAATGTTAAGACATAACAACCCAGTGACTATGAGAGCTATTGGTATCTTATCTTATAAATTGTAACTTAGTGCAGGAGAGAGGGAAATCTGGGAAATTCTTCACAATATTCTGAGTGGCTTCACCTTAATGAGTTTGCTAATAAATGAGGCCTGGAAATTCTTCTCAGTTTCCATATTTGCTCCGAATACTAGCATACAAGACATCTTACTGCTCTGTATGTAATTCTTGCCTGTTAAACCCTGCTTGAGCTTGCTCACCTACGACTTTGAGAAATCATGTTCTGTCATCTGGATAAGCCTACTTCCACATCCCTTTTCTCCTGAAGAGAACGAGATTGACTGAAGAGAACGAGATTGGCTAAATGCCATTTGGAGCAATCTTGGCAGTTTTCCAATAAAATGTCCATCATAAACAAGGGTCACTTGTGAGAAAACAGGCCTGATAACTAAAAGTAACTGGAATATCTTCAAGCATGTCAAAAAACACAGTCCATCTTCATGAAAAGATTCACTGGGATCACATATGAAACATTTGTTGAAACTGCTATAACTTTCTTCAAACTATAATTCTAACCCTTTCCTGCTGTTCCAGAATTGGAAAGGCTGACAGCTTTGGCTGGTGTTTTATACAATTAAGACTTTCTAGATGCCTTTGTAATTCCAACCTTTCACCTAACTTGGAGTAAGTAAAGTGAGAAAGGCCAATCAGGAGTTGGTGAAAGATTTCCATCTCCCTTTGCAAGGGGCATAAAACTTACCAAAATGGATATTTTATCCTATTCTGGTATCTACAGGCAACAGGCACGTGCATCAAAATATCTTGCTGCAGCACAAAGATGGTTATCTTATTCTTTTATCCAGCAAAGATCTCACTCAAAAACTGTGTTTCAAAAAAGCTAGTACAGGTGATCCTTGACTTACAACCACAACTGAGCCCAAAATTTCTGTTGTCAAGCGAAATAGTTGTTAAGTGCGTTTTGCCTCATTTTACAACATTTCTTGCCATAGTGGTTAAATGAATCAAATCAGTTGTTAAGTTAGTAACACAGTTGTTCAGTGAATTTGGCTTCCCCATTGACTTTGCATGTCAGGTTGCAAAAGGTGATCACATGACCTTGGGACACTGCAACTGCCATAAATATGAACCAGTTGCCAAGCATCTGAATTTTGATCACATGACCATGCAATGATCGTAAGTGTGAAAAATGGTCATAAGTCACACTTTTCAAATGGTCATGAAACAAATTGTTGTAAATTGAGGAGTACCTATATTTTCACACCAAACTGTGTTCTTCCAGTTTCTTCTCCCCCAGTACTAGTACGGGACCTTTCATATACTTTCCTTGCAGCAAAGCAGGGATGGTTTCTGGGCTCAAGATACTAACAGGCTCAAGTCCAGTTACTACACTGACGGGAAACTTCCAGGAAAGATATAGATACAGACTAGACCGGTAAGTTGAAAAAAATATCCTGGAAGAAGGCAATGACTAACCACTTCCATGGTTTATCTAATCCAAGGGTCTTCAAATTTGGCAAGTTTAAGCCTTGTGGACTTCAACTCCCATAATTCCTGAGCTAACATGACTGGAGGAGGAATTCTGGGAGTTGAAGTCCACAAGTCTTAAAGCTGTCAAGTTTGACGACCCTTGATCTAGGATAACGGCCTTACAGTACTAAGAGCCAAGCAACATCTGAAAACTTACATTTTTAAAGTTGCTTTCCATTGCTATTCTCCCCAGGTTTTGCTGCATTTAATTTATGGAATGGAAATGAAGAGAAATCGGATGAAATTGTTTTCTTACTTTATTTCCGTTCCATATATTAAATTTAACTCAATGTAAAAAAAAAAAAACCCTCCATCAAATAAAACTATGCCTGAGTTGTTTAAAAACGTAAAAACTAAATACGGGAACAGATTTAAACATGAATGGAACATGAATAAGGTCAGCCATTCGTCATTATTAAAATGCCCTTCGCGGGAAAGGCTTTTTCTCTCTGTATCTTTTCCCAACCGACTTCTTTTAACTTTGGCATCATCAAAAGAACAACCGATTCAGGAGCATCCGCCGCTTACCATGGCGAGGGTTTCTTGGCCGCAGCTGCCTGCAGAACAGAAATCAAATCGTCAGAGTCAGCGAGTAAACTGCCGGAATAGGGAGCGGGGGGTTTCAATCGCCGACTTATTTTTCTCCCGATCCCCTTTCCCGCCCTCCGTTCGAACAAGCACGGTCACACTTTCGGCACCTTAACGCTCCTCCTCCGCCCTCTTCCCAGCTGCCCCCACCTGGATTTTTCACGGATGCCAACGGATTGTAACCGCCGCTTACCGAGAAGCTCGAAACAACAGCAAAACCACCCGGGAAAGAAAAGAACAAGCACTTCCGCATCCGGATAGTTAAACCCTGCTAGCTACGGAGGCCGAGGAAGTTCATAATAGCAAGCGAGGCAAAACTAGCTGAAACCCGGCGGTGTGGGAGTGGAAATGCGTGGCGCTTGTAAGCACTTTGTAGCTGGGTATCAAGGATGCCGTACGCATTATAGGTGGTGTCAAATCAGTCTTCTATGTATGCACAACTGGAAGCTTAAAGAATTTGCTTACTTGTGAACTGTTCCTGTCTACGAATTTAGCGCAAAATGCAGGCGGTATGAAAAGCCAGCAGCGCGGGTACAATTTGCAGCAGCATGGATTAAATGCATAAAAAGTTAAGCGACCACCACCCTGAAGATAAAAAAAAAAAGTTTTCGTTGTCTTATTCAATCAGAAGCAAAACAGAAACTATTCCTGAATAAGCCATTATACTTAAACTTTGTACTTATGCTTAAGGTAATTGAGGACGCAGAGAGATCTATTTCTTTGTAGCTTTCGACCAGGAGGGAATCGGCAAGCAGCGCTCTAACAGCAGCGGGACCTAAGAAATTTTGATGAGGGCACTGCTTCAGAAGTACAATAATGATGAGATTTCTCTCTCCCCGGAGAAAAAGGGGGAACAACCACATCCTTAAATGTATTGCAGGAAGCTTAATTGTACACCTTAGAAAAGCGGTTTTCCATAGCAGTTTTTATCCATGCTGAAAGGATTATGAGATAGCAGGTCGGAGGTTCTGCTGTCTTATGATGGAAAAATTATGCAGACAGAAGGGTTTCTAGGAACCACTCAGAATGGATTGAAAGAGCATGGAAACTTGGGAATAGAAGAAAATGGGTGACAAAGGAATAGGACTGAGCACCCACTGAGGAATCTACTTTGAGAAATGAAAGTGTTTGGGATGACAATTTGGTCTGACAAGGCTCTTACAAATTTGCATAGTATGCATGCTATTTTATTATCTATTATCTTCCACCCAGTTTATATCATGCTTTCTGTAGAACAGAAAAATACAAGGGTGTACAAATGAATTTTGAGTGGGATAAAACTGTCTGAAGTCCTTAGGCAGAGCAAAAACCACAAAGATAACATTCAAATGACAAAGGAGCGTACATCAAAAACCCAGAAGCTAAGGAAGAACACTGGGTTCTAGTATGTTGCTCTGATTTCCAGAATTGGACTGATTCCAATTAGGTTTGGAGTGGATAAAGTAAAGGTTTCCCTTGTCCAGTCCTATCCAACTCTGGGGAACAGTGTTCATCCCTGTTTCTTAGCTGAGGGAGCCAGTGTTGTCCTCAGACATATCTATAATCAGGTGGCCAGCATGACTATAGGCTGAGGCACATGGAATTATGTTACCTTCCCACTGAAGTGATACCTATTTATCTAGTTGCATTTGTATGCTTTCGAACTGTTAGGTGGACAGGAGCTGGGGCAAGTAAAAGGAGCTCATCCTGTTGTGTGGCCGTCAACTGTAAATTTTTGGCTTAACCACTAAACCATTGCGCTCCTTTGGGGTGGGTATAACATGAATATTACATGCTTGAAAAAGGAATTATTTTTGTGGGATAGGAAAGTTTTAGAAGAAAGCAAATCAGAGGTTCCACCCCAGTGGTGGGATTCAAAATTTTTTACTACCATTTCTGTGGGTGTGGCTTGGTGGGCATGGCAGGGGAAGGATACTGCAAAATCTCCATTCCCTCCCCACCCCACTAACCTGCTTTCCAGCTCCGTTCTCCTGTGCAGGGCAACAAAAGAAGACCCAGCCAATCAGCTGGGACTCGGGAAGCAGAGAATAGATGTGGTATTTGCTGCTTCTCAAAATTTCTGCTACCGGTTCTCTAGAACCGGTCAGAACCTGGTCACTTTTGCTTCACCCTAGATATGAAGGAGGGAAAAATATTCTCTCCAACATTGACCCTGGCTTGAAAATGTAAGGTTTTTCTTCTCCAGCTCGAGTGCTTCTATATAACCCTGCATTCACCTGTGATTGCCTTTCTTTAGAATAAAGCTAACTAGAATAGATTGTTGCTAATATAATATCTGAGTGCATTTAACCTTTTTCTTTTCTTTCTTAACTCATATTGCCTGATAACTAATACAAGCTACATAGAGAGTAGAGAAATCAAACCTCTTCTCCCAAAATTACCTTTGTGCAGAACCCAACACAAGCTATTGTGAACATCAACCAAAGACCTCACTGTCATTATGTCCAGAATCTTTTACTTCCTGATTATATGATACTTGAGCAGAACATGACAGGAGCATATCGCACCACCTGATTGGGCAGAACCAGAAATTGTGAAATATTTGTATCCTCTACAATCATTGTATAGGTAGTCCTCATTTAGTGACTGCTTTGCTTAGCAACTTTTTGCAGTTATGACACAAATGAAAAAAATAAGGTTGCAAACAGTTCTCACATTTATGACTTTGACAGGTTTGTAAAGCAAGGGAGTAAACTCCCAAGTACAGTCAGGGTTTCACTTAACAACTGCTTGGCTTAATGACCAACTTGCTGACTCCAATTATAGTTGCTAAAAAGCACTACCTGCAATAGCAACAACATTCATGTAGCAAATTTCAAGTATTCAGAGTGGTTCACACATTTGATCTTGGCAATCCTGATTGAAACTTAGCATGATCGACAGAATCCCTCCTTACTTTCAGGAAGAGTTTAGGGCTGGCTTAACTGAAGAAACTGAGAGAAATTATGGCTGAGGTGAAATTTAAACTGGCATGATTCCATTTCATATTCTCAGCAGTTATAAACTCCCAGATCTCAGTGCTTAAAATATAAATGGATCTACTTGTGACTTGAATTCCTGAGAAAAATCAATATAGAACAGCATTCATGTTTTGCTCTATCGATTTATACAGTATCTGTTATGTTGGCCTCTATATACATTAAGTTGAAGTAGTAGTTGCATTTATTAACATTTTCTAGAGTGATGGGCATCTTTGGGCCATCAGAAATGGCAGTTGTTTCAGGAGGGGCCTCGGTAGATAAAACGGACACATGCCCCATCTTTACCTATCCACAGAGAAGCATGCATCATCAGTTCTTCTTGTTGCACTGAGATAGTAGTAAAAATACTTGGACTGCTTCAACTTATACCCTTAAACATCTACTTTGTGTATCTTTATAATGAGGTTTTTTTTTAAAAAAAATTGTATCCTTTCAAGGATGATCTGTTGGGGGCTATCTGCAGTTCATCCCACCTCTTTTCCTTGTTTTACCATAGTCTCCCTTTCTGCCCAGGGTTCAAGAAAGAAGGCTTGTGTAAGAAACCTGAACTGATAGCTTAGACAGACCTTTTGAAATTAAATGATAGTCTACAGTCCCCCGCCTTTACTTTATACAGGAGAAAGAGAGATAGGGCTAATACAAAGCCCCTGCGTGTCCTTGGTTTATTTGTGTGCTCTTGTACATATTTGTTCCTCATTTCCTTCAGCAGAGCCATGTATGTAATGATAAAAATGAAACACAAGGGGGCACCCTGAATACGGGTTTGAAATAAAGTGGGTGATGAAGAAAAATGGAAATGAAAAACAATCCACCCCCCAAAGGGAGACTAATCATAGTTGCAATCCAGCTTGGCTTGCACAGGAATCGTGTTCACCTTAGGAATTGCTTATTAGCCTGTCATTAATCATTATGCGTGTGCAACTACCTGGCGTATCATGAAATCAAGATCATCTGCCAGTAGCAAAGGCCAGCCCTCAGTGAGTTTAACCCTCAATGAGCTTAACTCATTCTATGTGACAAGATCACATTCTTCTGCCTTAGAAGCTCTCCTGTTTCCTCACTGCTTTCCCTTCTTTTAACTTATTGGAAAAATGATAATTAACATGAATCCATAGTGCTGCTTAATTCGTAGGAGCCCGCCAGTGGTGGGATTCAAATTTTTTTACTACCGGTTCTGTGGGTGTGGCTTGGTGAGCATGGCAGGGGAAGGATACTGTAACATCCCCGTTCCCTCCCCACCCCACTAACCTGCTTTCCAGCCCCGTTCTCCTGTGCAGGGCAACAAAACAAGACCCAGCTGATCAGCTGGGACTCGGGAGGCAGAGTATAGATGGGGGCAGGGCCAGTCAGGGGTGGTATTTGCTGGTTCTCTGAACTACTCAAAAATTCCGCTACCAGTTCTCCAGAACTGGTCAGAACCTGCTGAATACCACCTCTGGAGCCCTTCCTCTATTATAGAAATAAGATAATCCTTCACTTAAGACTGGCCACTTACAGACTTTTTGAAGTTAAAACAGAACTTCCCAGAGCTAATTACAACCCAAATTTGAAATTATGATGATCAGCACCCCTGACCATTATGATTGCATTTTGTGAGTGCTTGGTAACCAACCTGCATTTATGGCCTTTTTATGTGACCACAACTTACAATGCTTTTTATTGGAAACCAGTGTTTCCTTCTGGTTTCTGGCAGAAAAGGTAATTGGTTACAATGGATTTGCTTTAATGACTGTGGTGTTTGCTTAACAAACACTGCAAAAAAGGTTGCAAAATTAGACTGGGTCACATTTTAACTGGTTCGACTTACGACCCTAATTCTGGGGTCAACAATGGTTGTAAGTCGAGGACTACCTATATAAATATTATGAAAGGCAATCTTTCCTTAGCAGCTCTCTGACTATGAATAACTCTCCTCCCCTATCGCATCCCAGTGAAGAATTCAAAATGAGCATTTCATTTTCACAGGACTCAATAATTATTATCTGTGACCTAAAATGTAATTTTATGTTACCAATCTTACTTTGCACCTTGCTTCAGGATTATTAGGGTGATAATGAATGTAAATGGGTAACACATTTATACATTCAGATCATTTCCATTTTGAGTATATTTTCCTTATCTTACTGAAGCCTCTAAATTAGACCTCCTCCCTCTTTTCTGTCATCTTACAGATCTGGAACTAAAGCTGAGATACAGAGATTTCATAAAAATGATTTGTTGTTGTTGTTGTTTTGGAAACAACATCTCCCAACTGCAAAGTGAATGCTGT